CATTGAGTCCCCGTACGGATTCATCGTTCGACGACTCAGAGCCGTCTGAACCTGGATCGCCGTAGTCTGCATCCTGTTCATCTCCACTCTCCTCTGCATGTGACCCCCTGCCTCCTTTAGCTGGAGCTTTACCTTTACCCTTACCTCGCGGCTTTTCAGAGACGTCGTTGTTCTGCCGGTGGCGAACACGCTTGATCTTCCTTTTGACTGGGACCGGATTGCCGAATTCATCTTGATTTTCAGCCTCGAGATACTGGGCCATCAGTGAGCCCCTTTGCCGTGCTGGCCGACCTGTGAATGGAAGTGAGTACACGACACCAGGGCTTAGGTGACAGCGTCAGTACCTGACCCTGAAAGCGGAGTGAGAAATAATATGACGGAGGTCAAAGGTTGCGTACCGTCAGCGGTAGAAGGCCCCGCATCGCCAGTTTGACTAGAGGAAGACGCTATTGGAGCCGTTAAGGCCAGTTATAACCCAGAATGAACAAAATTGTTACCGTCATTGGAACCACCAAGTACGCGCACGCGGATGTCGAAATGGGACAAAGACCCAATGTTAAGTTCCGCCATTATGAGATATCCAAGGAGGCGTTGAAGGCGACCGGACATGTACAGTGCGTGGGAGCGATGGGATTTGCTGGGAATATGACCACGCTTTCTCAGCGTATCGAGGACATCATCAATTGTGGAATCTTTCGAGACCACTACGAAGAACATCATGGCGGCCCTGACATGGAAACAATGATCGACTCACGAATGGGAACTGTGCGCCTTTCGGCGCCTCGAACGAAGATCGTCATCGCTCCAGCATCAACTAGTCGCCGGAATCGGTCCGAGCGGATGTGAGAGGAATGCGAGCGGCGATAACGGATATTTTCGCAAAGGAAAACCTGCGAGAGGGTAAAAAATTCAGGAAAGACGATGTTCCCTTGAGAAGGTCAGACGGCATCATCTCTCTGAGGGACCAGGAAATGTACCTGCACAGAGTGAGATTAGGGCGACATATCCTTGGAGAAGGAGGGCGCCCGGGATGTATTGATATTGCTGGGGCCAAATTTCGAGGGCATCAAGAGCGGGACGGAAGGAAGATGAAAGTGCCACAAATGTCAGAAGAACGGGAGGGAGAACCAGCAGCAGCACGGTAAAATACCAGCTCCAAAAACGGTCTCCGATAGTACGTTGGGATGATATCGAGAGCACCCCATGAGTGTAGACGCCAGACTTGGGCTCTGTAAATAGGTCAGTACTTTGCGTGAAGCAGCCATCACTGCAAGGCTTAACGTGATCCAGGCTCTTGAATATCGCGGACAGAAATCGTCCGCGATGAGGGTGGCATTGTGATTCGGAAAACTGGAATCACCTCCAGACTTATAAATTGTTTCTAGGGCCAACAGGTTTTGCACCCGAACATCTGAAACGTAGAAGACGCGAACGAGTCGCGAAAAGGAGAAACTATGCACTGCCATGTGTAGCCCGTGAAAATGGTGCATGCGGGATGAAAGACAAGACATCTAGGCAGTCGGGCGGCGCGGAGGAACTCAGGCAAGGAATGGGCGATGGTGATCTTTGAACCAAACATTGAAGGCAGCAAGCAAGGCAACAGATGGAGTCCCAAGAGGTCCCAGGGACAGCCGGGCAGACGACTTGAATGACGCAGTGCTGTTATCTTGGAGAGACGGATAGCAAAAACCTCATGATATGCATCTTGTTTCCATCAGAGACTGGCCGAGTACGCCGCCAGGGGGACAGATTGCCGACCGCAGTCGTCTGACCGGCAAAAGGTTGCCGGGTCGAGCCGTACACACCCGTATACGGCTTGGACGGTACGGGATTGTACGGTATGCCGGCTGCATGGGTGCCGTACCGTAGAATCTCGCCGCAGCGGGCTTACGGTACGGTTACGGGTGCCGTATTTACGGCTGTCGACCGGCCGTAAATACGGTTACGGTGAACAGCCCTACATGCTTCGTACCATCTAGACACTGGCAGACCCGGCGGTGTCGAGTGTAGTGTGCAATTCGAAGGTTTGTTGTGTCAACAAATTTGGATCTCACCCATGCATCCACAACATTGCTGTTTCGCACAAATTGTTACAAAAAAATAATGGGGCGTTCTGAGGAAAAGCTGCTGAAAGCTGTAAGCTGATAAAAAGCGACCAGAAAAGCGGCGGAAAGACGGCAAAAAAGACAAAAGCCGTAAAAAGTCGTGGGAAGCTACCAAAAAAGCACTTGTCGTTTTGCTGATGGATCATCCCTTTGTTGCCCACGAGAGCAGAAAATTACCCTTTGGCGAGCGTGGAGACGAATCCTATCAGCCAAAAATTGCGGGATTCAATGTTCTCGGTACCTGCCCTGGACCTCCATAGTGGGCGGCAGCGAGTTGGCAGTGAGAGGAAACCCAGCGAAATCGGATAAAGCAAAAATAATATACCTGCAAGAGCTAAGTATATGAGCAATGCCGCAAATGGCACAGCCGAGTCCTGCCGATGAGCCATTCCTGACGTTGCCCACAAGGACAAACATAGTCTCTCTCAGACAGATGCTATAACTGAACACTTGTTCCTTGCTAGTTAGTCTGTTAGTTACCGCGCCCCGATGACAGGTGATCTGCGTTATCACGGAATGATGGTGATGCACAACTAAACAACTCATTTATATTCACGCGTTTTGCACCATTCGACGCGTTTGTTGAGGCCGGAACTATTGTGCAAACTATTTCAGGCTTGATATCACCCACTGAACATCGTTGGACCCTTTCCGATATTGTTTACCATTGAGTCAAAGGATTTCAGTGATTTCGGCTTTCGTTCGGCCGTAACCTGAGGAATTTATTCAGTCTGGTGAATTCTCTTCGAGTCTTAACTCAAAAGAACACCCAGGAAACAGGAGAGGATCCCTTCACTTTCCCCACTGCCTGGATCCTGATGGATAGACTTTGAATGTGTCAAGTCACGTTGTTGCACCATAATAACGCAGGACACCTGTTGTGATGGCGTGGTAACTAATAGACCAGGACAAACACTCTGCAATAGCACCACGGCTCATCCATATGACTTCGGGGTGACTCAATTTGATCCAGGCAATGCAACGTCTCTGACTATCAGTGGCATGCATGGTCATTTTGTAGCCTCAGGCTCTCCTTGCAATTTGATCTGCACCTGCCTCCTATTTCGTTCTTGGGTGTCAGTCTACGGACATTTCGTTTTCTCAAATATCCAGTGCCATCATCATACACTTGACTCTCGACCGTTGGGCAGCGCATCGGATTTCCACGCTGCAGCTTCAGGGTATTTTCAAAGCCCTCCACAAGAATGAAATTCTCCCATGGCAATGAAGAATCTTGGCAGCCTCGATGGCTAGTGGATCATAATTGAGCCGCTCCGGAATGTAATGGCCCCTGATCATGAGTACTCCGTGCAAATCGTGCACCGCTTTTGATGCTCGCAAACTTTTGCTGAGATACAGTCATGATGCATCACCACTGTGCAGTTTGGATCACAATATTATCGCTGAAAATTGCCTGCCCTATGGGCTTGATCCGAAAGATGCTCTCAAAGCACGTCAAGTGGGTCCCTGGAGATCAGACGGATGGGATCACGGTGTGTCCTTCTTTCCCTTTCCGTTCCAGTCCCTCACTCGCTTCCCTTAGAAACACGTTCACAAGCTGGCCAAAAAGCATCTAGATTTAAAGAAGTTTTTACCCCCCAGGACGACGACGCGTTGAAGAAAGTGTACCGCCAAGTGAGTTGTTTTCTGATTCTCCCCAATCTGCAAACACTCATCCCGCCATCCCAGGCAAATGTGCAGTTCCCCGAGCTGAGGCGATACACCAGCAATTGGCCCGTAAAGTGCATTCTTCAAGCACACCTCAAAGTCACGAAGACCGTGTCGAAGACTGCCATCGTCTCGCACCTCAGTCGGGCGGTAGGAGGGAAAACGACCCCTAGGAAAACCATTAGGGTTTGTCTCAATTCCTCTGGCATTGTTGAGTTGTAACGGTGTCTCAGCGCTGACTCGACTCCGACGAGCCGGACTTACAACTCGGACAAAGCTTAGATACAAAGTATATCGAGCAGCATATGTGATTAGCACGCAGAAAACACAACAATTGTGTGTTCACGGCCATGTCGATGCTTTTAGTTTTTTGGGTCCTCTAAAGCCTTGCTGTAAATTTATGGTAAAAGATCGATGTTTGATTAGTTTTTTGGAGTGAGCCTAACATACATGCATGTATGATATCAGTGGCGGTGACATGTCTTCGCACTGATGCTCAACTGCCACCCATCTTCGACTTGTATTCAACGTCCACGCATCCGTACTCAGCATGATACGCTGGGTTTGGGTTCGTTCCTCGGCCGATCTGGTCGCTCAAACCTTGGCTGCAACAATATTCCGATGGTCGAATTGCCATCTATATGAGGAACAATGAGCGCAAGCAGATGGAGGTATGCACCCTCACCTTTGATTCGGGACGGCGCTGGCCACTGATCTGGTGGAGCTCATGATTTTCTGAAGAACAATTGTAGCAATTGAATTCTGTGACATTTCGATCCGACACTGCGGGTGGTTCTCACCCATCCCGACTCCGCGACACCTGCTAATACCAACTAACCCGTCTAACAGATATGGATGGTAGCAGGACAAAGGGGTAAGTGGGACATGAGGAACAGATATGAGTGGTAGCAGGATGCAGGGGTAATCGGGAAATAAGGAACAGATCTGAGTGGTAGCAGGACGCAGGGGTAAGCGGGACATAAGGAATAGATCTGAATGGTAGCAGGACAGAGTGGTAAGCGGGATATAGGGAATAGATCTGAATGGTAGCTGGACAGAGTGGTAAGCGGGACGTATGGAAGAGGCATGAGTGATAGCAGAACGGAATATATAAATGGGACAGATATAGGGGTATCGCTGGTGGCAGGACATCATTAGAATAGAATAAAGTTGACAGAATAGTATTAACACACGCGGGAACCCCTTACTCAAAGGCAGGTTGTCAATGGCCCTATGGTGTAATGGTATGCATTGCTGCTTATGATATTGTCGACCTGTCTAGTCCAGCAGCTGGCTTGGGTTCAATTCCCAATAGGGTCATTGCTCCCGGGGGGGTTTTTTTTTTGTGGAACATTTTTATGTTGTTAATGAGATGGTAAAAAAAGAATTACAGTAAAAAGTAACACGTCAGTTCTCAAACAACGAACCAGGACACCTATCCCACCCCACCGTCTGCAATGCAAACTCCCTGTCCCGCTTAACACCGAACAGGACACCTGCTTCACCACGCACATTTAACAAAAATCATGGTATATTCAGTAGTGAGTACACGTGCATAGTCAGTATGTATAGATAGCATCAAGAAATAGATTTTCGCTTCCCCTTTGACTTCCTCGGCTCCTCCTCATCCTCGTCCTCGTCCTTGTCATCCTCGTCCTCGCTGGGATCTGCCTGGCCTTGGCTTTTCCCTTGTTCGACACAGGCTCATAGTCATCATTGTCCTCTTCATCGAGGATCTCCTTCGATTTAGCTGACATTTGCGCTTTTTTCGCCTTTCCGTGCCCTTCATCCTTGCTTAAAGCTTAGTTCTGCTTCTTGAGTTCCTTGCCTTCCTTCTCCACTTTCACCAGCCGAGTTCGGGCCTTCCTCTCACGTTCCATCTTATGTTTATGCTCTGCCTTCTCTTCGGCTGTCATGCATGCCATGACAGACTTCTTGATTCTGTTCAGTCGCTCACCTTCACCTTCGTCGCTGTCCTCGCTGTTCTTCCTCTTTTTGCTTGACGTCTCCCTCAACTTGGTGGCCTCTGCATGTGACAGATCTTTGTCGCGGCATTCCTTCCGTTGTTTCTTCTCCTTACCCAGCTATATGAAAGTAAACATATGGGCTATATGGTGTTCAATAATTATTATAAAAACACACCCCAGAAAGAAAAACACACAGGGCAAGAACCTGAAAATACTCATCTTGATGGTTGAAAATCATGCACACGTGCTGATGACAAAAAATCACGCGACTTTCTCTTGCCCTCAAATTTCATGCAACTTCATGTGAAACAAAAAAAAAAAAAAACAGCTTGGACTTGGTCCTCAGTACAATGAAAGTTTAAATTTGGCAGGTCCAGGGCATCTGTCTTCACCAGCCATAATTCATCGTCTCTTGGGGAATATTCATATTCTAAAATCCTTCAAAATGTTGTGGGTATGTGGGATTACATTGGCAACTTCCTGAATACAAATTCTAACTCATTTGACCCTTCAGTGAGCTACGGTTCAAAGGTTTGATGTTTTCTGCAGGCGATGTAGGGCTTGACCTACAGGTATGACAATCCCTCACCCCTGAAAAGTGAACTGAGGATGCTTGGAATGTAAAATATACTGAAGTCGCCCAATTCCCTATATACAGGCAAGTCGTATAAGGAATTTATTTTCTGATCACAAGATATATCTAAATCAAATCTGCCAGACGTGGTCTGTACATCCAAGGAGGAAGTTGTAATACCCATTCATGGCCTTCTGAGGCATCCTTGAACATCAACTTAAACTCTGTCAATATTTTTCTCTGCACCAGGAAACCTGCTTACATGGAAAGATATCTGAAAATTCATTTAACCAACATGTGGACGGAAGCCGCGGACCGCTGACATGATTGGTGTCACTTTGAGCTGAACATGCATCGTTTTTTCCAAGCAGACATGTGTCTTTTTACAGGTGCATATTTTTTATTGCCCATCCAGTTCCGTGTTTATCTATTTCACCAGTTTCCCAACTCGTGGTTTCTGTCTAATTCCTTCTCAACATGTGCATTTTTCATGCAAGTTGTGCTATTTTTTATTTATGAACACTATATGTGCCATATAAACATAAAACAAAAACAAAAAACGAAATAACGCCAGTACCACACCTCCAATTCACAAAAAAGACCAAGTAGAAAGGATTATCCAGTGGCTGGCCCGCTAATATCTTGACAAGGTCCCGCTTTGCGGGGCCGCACACACTAGGGCGGGACAGCTCCGCCATCGTTATGTCTGTCGCCGACACGGTCTCGTCGACGTCAACGAGCTCTACGCGCTTCTAAATTCCAGAGTTAGCACGGCGGAATACGAGGACTACAAAGGGATCACGCACCCTCTTCTGCCCGGCGACCCAACCGTTGGCTATCTTCTCCTCGCGCTCACGAGCACGGAAGCGTTGCATGCGCTCAGTGGCGTCTGCACGCTTTCGCGCCGCTATCTTGCGCTTCGCATCCACCTCCCGCAAGCGAGCCTCCTCGGCGTGCTCCGCATACTCGCGACTCTCTCGCTCCGGCCCATCAGGAAATTGTCGCGTAGCGGATCAGCCAGTATCTGGCCGGATGATGCGACGTCAGCCTCATCAGATCAAATACTGCTGGTAAGATGCTGGTGCGCGCTGGTGACTGCCAGATCGTCGAGGGCGAAGTTCGCCAGCGCTGACCAACCCTTCATCAGACTGGCGAACTTCAGGGAAATTATGTCATATCCTCCCGCTACTGCTCCCCTCCCTTGCGGGCTCTAATTCGTATAATGCAATGGATAAAGAATAGATGAATTAAACGACGTAAGAGACATGGAATCTACGTAGAGAATATAAAACAGGCCAGGTCCTCGACGCACCGATGGTACTCAAGACCGCCGTAAGCTAAACTGATGCCCAAGAGTGCCAGCGCAATATGGATTGAATGTCCGACCTTGCTCGGTTCATTTGCACCCCGCGGTGACCCCAGGGAAATTGACGTCATGGCAGGTTAGAGACACGGAAGAGACATGGAGAGGAAGCTTGAGGACACGGAAGGGGTGCTGGATGGCCTGAGGATTACGAAGGGAAAGGTTGAGGGTTTGAAGAGAAGATGAGGGCCTTGAAGAGAACCTTGAGGACACCGTTGAAGACGCAGCTTGGGAGACTGGACGTTCCGCGAGACTTGCGAGGCTTCCGATCTTGTCCTGTCTATTGCAAATATGAAGGAGCCCCGATGATAGACCTTGAAGGAAATCGAAGGACATTCCAAACGGTTGCGCCAAAAGGGTGCTTGAGGAAAGGCGTGCTTGAGGACAACATTTGAGCGTCTTGAGGATGGTTTGACGGCGTAGAGGTAAGGGAAGGAATAGTAAGGGGTAGCAGAGCGTTTCGACGGCAGAGGGGAGGGCAATGGAGACGAACGCGAGCGCGCAAGTGGTGGGGAAGAGAAAGAGGCAACCAACCATCGCCATCAAATGATCAACAAACATGTCGCAGCGCACGGACCATCCACATGCAATCCCATCAGTCATCCTGTCTCGGTAACCCAGACATTTGGTGACAGCGGTCCGTACCGGACCGGACCACATGTGCGGAGTCTGAAAAAGATGTGCAGAACTGTCACCAGAACGTCTGGGGCATTTCGTATAGGGACACCCCCCATTGAGTCACACTGTGACTTCTGCGCACGTGTACTCCATGTATAATCATCTGTCATCGTCAACGACTTCAGTCCACGACCTCTACAGCGCCAGTCAGCGCCTTGCAGAGCATAGCAGGAGGTAGACCTAACATCTCATAGATAGTATCCATACCCATTGTCTTTCAATGGTGGTCCCTCAAATTTATATGATTTTCCAATATCACATGTCAAAGTGCTGGCGTCTGCTCGCTGCATCTGGAAAACACCCCATGGCTATGTCGAGCTATGGAGGAGCCGGGAGAGCAGGAGGCTCATAGACATGTCCCCCCTATGAGAGAGTGTGCATGTCTATCAGAGACCCTCATAGACACGTAGATTCATAGGGCCATAGAGCCATAGGGCGCCATCGAGCGACATAGACCACGTGTTTCTACGATAGACAGCGTAGCCGACGCGTCGCGTTGATATTCCGGTTCACATCACATCATATTGACGATGATATCGTACGATATCGGGTAGGATACATAATAGAGAAGAGAAACATGTATTGCCGTCGAAAATACAGCGGCACGTAAGGATCTAACAGAAATACAGTCGGGTCGGCGAAGGCACAGTAGTACAGCTAGTTGCAAACGGCACAAGTGTGGGACGGTTGGACGGAATGCCGGGAAAGGATTGCAGCTTTTGAAGAGAGCTTGACAGATACGAGTTATGCCAGTGGCCCACTTGACTCTTGCATGCAAGCCTTGAAGCCAGAGCGATGCTTGAAGTGTTGAAGAGCTTGATGAGGCCACTTGAGATTAAGTACTTTGAAGGAACAGACCAACCTTGAGGATTGAAGTCACACGAGGGACGGAGCTGGGAACGGTAGCTATGAGTTGGAGAAGATGAAAGTGGGGGAAGAACTTGAAGACGTGAGTTCACCAAGTCGGGGTCTTTTAAACAAGTCGCAAGATCAGCTGACCAGCTGCCAGCGTATCGGAAAGCACATGTGGTGCGGTGACTCTATGTGCAACGCTAGAGAGGACGGGATCTGTAATAGAGCTGGGGTTCGAGGTAGAGCAGGATAGAGCGAGGTGTCTATGGAGCTCTACAGAGAATGATGTCCCTACTGGTAACTATGTCATCACCGGCAATCTATGGCGCGGCCCGGGCCTCTACATGCTCAAAAGGTGTTTCCAGATGTGCTCTCCTTCGTCTCGAATGGCGTCGACGTCTGCCTCGGAGACTGGCTACATCCATGATTCAAGCTCTGAGTCAGAATCAGACTCGGACTCAGACTTCGATCCTGCTTCAGATGTCTCAGAATCAGAATCTGAGAGCTCCGACTCAGAGCCTGACTTTCCGAATTATCCGAGCCAGCGAGCCATCCACCTGCAGCAGACAGAGTACCTCCGCCAGAATCTTGGCGGAAGTCTGGTTGACAAAGTCCGAACGGTTCTCGTCGTCATGGATGGGCTTGGCATTAACCTGCCATTATTTTTGGATGCAATCCAGAGTTGTAACCATTCTGTTTATGCACTTTTTCACGCGCCATCTTCAGCAGGCGTTGAGATTTGGCATTGCGCTTGACGTGATCATCGTCGGCGGGCATTATAAGAGGCAGGAAGGGACCAGGGAGAAGGCACGTCAAGCTTGCTGATAGAAATTTGCGCCTCACGTGCATGTGTTTGGCGTGAGTGATGGTAACAGTGTGACTCAAT